GTGGGTGGGAGATAGGTGGGTGGGGAGGTGACAGGATGCCTGGAGGGATGGGTGGCTAGACAGCTGAATGGCGGGACGGATGCTGGTGGGTAACGGTCGGGAAACAGGTTGTGGGACAGTCGGGAGGGGACCGTGTTCCAGAAAGTGTGCGCAGCCCCGCCTCCCGTAGGTGGGAAGCAAAGCTCTGCGAGGAAACTGACCGACGTTCATTCGAACCTAAGTTGTGACTGAGGGAAACGGGTGTGTCTCTGCTCCCGACAGACGCTGCGGGTCTGTGAGAGGCAGCGAGGTGGGAAACGGCGCCAGTGCCCTTCCCCGCAGACGTCCGCGCGTTGCTGCTCCCGGCCGAGAAGCCGGAGCACAGTGTCCTGAGTGCGCGTTTCCTGCGAGGCCCCTGGTGGGTCCGGACACGGAATCCAAATGCCCGTTTCTCTGAGGCAGGAATCAAGACAGGCACCGGGAGGCTCCCTTTCCCCCAGGAGCACTGACGATTCCGTGCGTCAGATAAGCGCCCCCGACCCGGAAGCTGGTGCCCCAGGGGCTTTTAGATCACGAAAGTCCCATAAAGGTGTCCGCCATCCTGGGTTCCCCAAACGGGGCGGGGGCGGCCCCCGAGGGACCCTGACGGGGTAGCTGGGAGCTCGGCGGCCCCGCCTCGTGCAAGGTCCCAAATCTGCAGCGACGGGCTGTGCCGGTCCCTGGGACACGGAGCTGCGGCCAGCGCCCAGCCCAGGTCCCTGCCCGGGCAGTCGGGCCGCCACGGCGCCATGGCGGGGACCGTCAGCGGGTTTTGTAGGAGACCCGCTGAGCAGCCCGGGAAGAAAGCAGCATTGTCCCCGCGGCTTTGCACGGCCCGTATTCACATCTCACTGTTGTTTGCAGGGGAGGCAGCTGTGGACCAGAACAATGGGAGCCCCTCTCCGGACACAGCGGTGACAGACTCCAAGCGCACAGTGGACCCGAAGAATGCCTGGCCGGCCGCCAGCCCAGCTGACCCCAGGGGCCGCCCCCACTTGATCCGCCTCTTCTCCCGAGATGCCCCGGGGAGGGAAGACAACACCTTCAAAGACAGGCCCTCGGAGTCGGACGAGCTCCAGACCATCCAAGAGGACAGTGCAGCCGCTCCCGAGGGCCCGGACGTGATGGCGTCACAGAAGAGACCCTCTCAGAGGCACGGGTCCAAGTACCTGGCCTCCGCCAGCACCCTGGACCATGCCAAGCACGCCTTCCTCCCCAGGCACCGGGACACGGGCTTCCTCGACTCCCTGGGGCGCTTCTTTGGAGGTGACAGGGGTGTGCCCAAGCGGGGCTCGGGCAAGGTGAGCTCTGAGGAGTAGGAGCCGTCCGTGTAGATGGAAGGAGGGGAGCCAGGTGTCCTGGGCCCCAGAGGAGGTGCCTCTCAGCTGGGTAGGGCTTGTCCTTTCTGGAAACGCTCACCGGCCCGCGGGAGGGGCCGGGGCCGCCCCTGCGTTTCCGCTTAAACTCACCTCTTCCCCCCGCTCCCCGGGGGCTGCGGCCAGGATGTGGCTCGGGGATGCGAGGGCGTCCTCCAGGCTGCACCCCGGGGGCCGTGGGGATGCGGGCACTGGCCACGCCCGCGGGTCTCCCGTGTCGCAGGCTTGGGGGCTTCGTGGCTGATTTTGCTTCTGACGCCCACGCTTTGGGCTTTGCCCTGGGTTCTGCTCACTTTTCTCCTGGACTGAGCGCCGCTCGCTCGGCGTTGATTTGCAACAATCATGCTATTGAGGACTTTGGAGCCAGCTCGCCTTCTAAATCCGCCTCGAGCGAACCTCCTCCCCGGTCTGCGGTGTTTAGGGAAAGAGGAAAGACGGGCCGGCAAATGCCTCTATGAATCGAAACTGTATTATTTTGTGATTCTGGTAATTTGAATATAGAGTCTATGAAGTTTCATTATTTAAATGTTCTGTAGATTAAAATGTATCCCAAGGAACAGTGTCCCTCCCGGGGTCCAGTTTCCAAGTGTGTCCTGAACTCGGTGTGAACAGGTCCTCTGTGGCCGACGCGTCCTTAATCCCCGAGTGGCATTCGGGGACAAGTACGTGGCTGGTCACGTGGCTGGCTGAGTGTCGGGTGGCCGGGGCGTGTGGAAGGAGAGGGGTTTCCACAATCCCCGGCTTACTGGGTGTCCCCGGCTCACGGCCCCATACGCTGCGCCATGTCTGCAGCCGGGACTGTGCTTGTTCCGAGGGGCCTGGGGGGTGAGAGGCTCTGAGGGGCCTGGGAGCTGAGGGCCCCGGCCTGGGAGCAGCGTCCCGAACCCCCGGGCTCCCGGGAGTGGAGGAGTTTCCGAAATGTGCTTTCGCCTCTGACTATGATGCTTAAGTGACTGGCAGTCATAAGCTTGTCGGAGACGACAGGTGTCAGTTGTGCAGATGTGTCGGCGCCTTGGGGTCCCGGCCGGGGGCGCCTTCACTTGTCAGCACTTTGGGTGAACAGCGCCGTGTATCTGAAGGGCGCGGGGACGTCCTTTCCGGTTGGTTCCTCCGGGGCCTGTTGTATCTGTTCCTTTACTTTGGGGCGCCTCCCCTTGCCCTGAAATGTTGGTCCCCTGACCGGCTTCTAGCGCCAGCTTCAGCCTGGGCTGCTTTTCCAAGCACGGCTGTCGGACCCACCGCCCTGCGGCCCCCGGGGGGCTCCCTCGCCCGCTCAGCAGCCCACATGCGCGGCTTCGCCGGCTCTGAAAGCTTAGACTCTTCTGCTTAACCCAGGGGCAGGAAAGAGATGCTTAAACTGTGCGGAAAAGATTAAATAGCTGGAGAGCATATGTCATAAATCAAACTTCCTGTCAGGGCTGTGGTTTCAGTTAAATAAAATCGCGAACGTGTTTACCTCCATCAGTGTGGCTTTATCGCAAATGGACTAGAGACACACGGTTTCTTCCTTCACGTACAGCTACAGCCTTTAGTGCTTTAAGTCTCTTACGCGCATCAGTATTTTCAAAGAAGAGGTTCTAGTTTCTGCTACGCAAACAGTGTTGCCAGATTATCAAGAATCCAGAAAATTAGAAGCGTTTTCACGGGATTTTTAAAAATGAAAACAATGCTTAAGTAATTGGTGTAGACATTTGGAAGTACCCGTGTGTCCTGATGACTGTGGAATAAAGGTTTAGAAATGACCAGCCTTCTGCCCTCTGATGCCCGGACGTGGGTCAGAGTTGGCAGCGTAACCACGTGGCTGCTTCTCACAGACGGGTGGAGCCGCCTCCTGCTGCGGGGTCTTTGCTGATGGCACGAGGGGGACCCCTGGCGATGGCTGTTCAGTTTGCCTGTCGATTGTGGAGCCTTCTTTTGCTTTTAAACACTGGAGGGGGGTGAGCCGGACGCCCCGATGCCCAGCCATGTGCCCACGGCTGCCCCAGAAGCATGCGGGGCCGTGCGGGGTGGGCTTCCGGGGCCTGCTCCGGTTTTGCTTCCGTCGTGTGCTTTCTATAACTCAGCAGGGCCCTTGCTTTATGCACCAGAAGGGTCCTCTGGGTTGAAGCTTGAAAATAAGGGAACCCAAAGGCCGGTGGCTGTCCATGAAAGGCCCTCTCACCGTTTCTAAGATAATCGGCTCCGATTCCCAGGATGCCAGAGGTGCCCACAGGCCCGGCAGCCGCCTGCTCCGGCCAGTGTGTCTGGGGAAAGCAGCCACTCTGCTCGCCCGTCTAGAGGGGTGTCCTGGTGGGATTGTGCAGACGGCGAGGAGCGAGGCCTGGACAGAGGCGGCCTGTGCTGCCCTGGGTGCCCCCCTTCCTCTGGGCCCGGGCTGGAGCCGCCCCCAGCCCCGGGAATGCACCCAGCACCCACCCTCTGGGCGGCAGGGACTTGACATTCAGGGAAAGTGCAGGACGAATTCCCTGAGGAGGCAGAATCCTCGAGGGCCACAGTGAAAGGCACATTGTTGGAGGAGGGGGGAGGCCTGAGGTTGGCTGAGAGCCAGGCCCCCCAGCCCTGGAGTGTGGGCGGGTGGGGAGAGCTGGGCACTGCAGACGGGGACCGGGGTGCGCTGGTCTGTCGGAGGCGGTGGCTCCCCCTCCCGTCCCTGGGGCCTGCGCCTCCGGCATCACCTCTGGGCCAGGGCAGGGCCCGATCGTGGCTGCTCGGGCCTCGCTGGCCACAGCCCGGGAACCCCGAGCTTGTCCCTCTTTAGCTCCAGTAGGAGGCTGACGAGGTAACTAGCTGGACACACAGCCCTGGGCAGTTTCGGGTGGGGACGCCGGGGCCCACAGGTCTGTCTGTCCCTCCCGCACCCCCCCGACACCGCCCGCGAGCCAGCGTCTGCCCTGACGATTTCCCGTTAGTCCTGCTCGCTTTGCCCCCAAGGCGCCGCGTGTCCCCTCCCTTCCCCAGCGTGACCTCTGTGCCCTGATGTCGGCTGCGCAGCGTCGCCCGACCCCACGGGTCCAACCAGTCCTGCTGATTAACCAGTGTCCTGCTTCCTGATTTTTCCATCGCGTTTTAATTTCATTTGCCACAGTTTAGTTCTACGGTAACTTAGTTCCCCATGGTTAACACGATGCCCTGATTGCGGAGGGATAACCCTGTAGCCCTGCAGGGAGCGTAACCCTGAGAGGGTGTGCAGGACACGGTGGGACCCCCACCCCATGGGCACGTCCAGCCCCAAGGGCTCGGCCGGGGCCCTGCCCTCTCCCTCCTGCCCAGTGCGCTCACCCGCAGGTGCAGTGACGCACGTGGGACCCACGGAGTCTCCGGGAGTCTCTGTGGCAATGACCTTGCCTGAGTGGCAGTGGGTGCGTTTGCTTCTGCACCCGCTAAGGCGTCTGGGGGTTTCCCGCAGGAATCCCTTTCGAAGTGCCCCCCCCGATCAGCGATTGATCAGGGGTGTCCTGGCTCAGCTCCCAGCTCCCCACGGTCCTCCCCTCGTCCGCACACCTCGGTTGTCCCCCGTCACTTAGATAAACCAGTTAAACTGCGCGTTTCGTCCCCATGTCAGCGGAGACCTTGCCATGTCCTTGAGGGTGGCGGCTGCCGCCGCTAATGAAATTCCCGTTTGACTCTGTGATGAAACTTTGCTTTTATCTGTGTCTTCGTGTTTGTGCATTTATTAAACATTTTAACAGCCCGAGGGTGGTGTACTAATTGCTTGTGGATTCCTTGCGTGTCCCTCCCTTACTAAGCACACTTGTTCCCGAGACTCTGGATCCGGCACCGCAGGTGAGTCCTCGGCCCCAGCGCCCGCCGCGGCGCCCGGGGTCACAGCTCCTCCCTCCGCGCCTTCGTCCCGGAGGGGCTGGGCGCAGGCTCGGCCGTCCACCCGCCTTCCACTCGCCCCACCCGAGGGCAGTTCTGTCCCTCATCGCCGGCTGCTCCGGGTGGCGGCAGCTCTGCCGGGTTGACAGGGAGCCGAGCCTGACCCCCGAGGCTCTGTCACCTCAGGGAAAACCGCCCACGGGGCGCACGTGGAGCATTAAAGGGACTTTCAGGAACTGTGGGAGCCTCTCATCAGCCTGGGGTGATGTTATTTTAGGGGTTCCCGTGGTGTCGGACCCTCCTAAATGCCCTGACATCATCCTGCTGCCCAGAAAGTAGTAAAAAGGGAGACAAGACAGAGGAAAAACCCCACCTGATGGGTCCCCATTTCCGGGGGCTTGACCAGCAGGGTCCCTGCCCCAGGCCGGCTGAGCCCTGGTCTCCCCTGGGTCGGGCGTGGCTCCTGCTCCCACCCCTCCCACGAGGACTTTCTGCTTTTCCCAGCAGTCGAGCTCCTTTGCCAGGGACATGGACAGAGAGACAGCCGTCCTCCTGTCCCCTCTGGGCCAGGCAGGGCTAAGGCTGTGTTTCTGTACCCGGCCAGTCCCCAGGGCCGGCGACCTCAGGGCTGCAGCCCCTCCTGCCCCACCTGCAGGGCCAGCACCCCGACATCCGTGTGACCCGAGGGCCCTCAGCCCACCCCAGGGCTCCCCAAACACCACTCGGAGACGCTCCTCTTCACGAGGACGGGGCATTGTCTTAAACCGGGGGTGGGGGGTGTCTGGCCCTGCCAAGGCAACCGCAGGCGGGACTTGAAATTCAATAAATCTAGGAGCTTTTAACACAGCTAATTTTTAAGTTGATAATTTTGTATGGCCCTCGAATGATGTTATAATATCCAAATGGCCCTTGGCAGAAAAAGTGTTCCCCACTCGTCTTAGACAGAGGAGAAATAAATTAGAAAACTCCCCCTCGCCTCGTGAACACACGTATAAGGCAGACTCGCCCGAACCCCACCTTCTGAGGCCACCTCTCCCTGTGGGGCAGCCGGGCCTCGTCAAGGCAGAGACAGCCACAGGCTGGTCCTGTGGCACCTGCCCTGAAATAAACAACCGTCCCACTGACGTAAGTCCCGGCACCACGGGTCACAGCCACCGGCGCTTCTGCTGGTAGAAAAATGGCCTCTTGTCTGGGGACACTCGAGGGAGCCCTGTGGCCGGGCTCCTGACGCCCGGGTGCTCGCCCGGCAGTAACATCTCTGGAATTCGATAACACGTTTCTGTGTCATAACAACTGTTTATGTCCACGAATAGCCACCAGTTAACCCGTTTACTAAAACCCGTCTTATCTGTAGCCAGTTCAGGACTTTCCCTGGAACCTACGGCGTGGATTCTGTCTCCCGACCGTGGCTGCCGGGCTGTCCCCTGCCTCTCCCCCTCCTCGCCCCTGTCCCTGTCCCTGTCCCTCCCTCAATCCCCATTCCCTGGGCTCAGTCTCAGGAGAGGGGTGTCTCCGGCCACTTGCTTCGGCCCTGTGACAATGTTGTCCCAGCCACGTCGCTCAGAGCCGCGGGGACCGTCTCGTAGCCGACGAGATGGCAGCAAATGCTCTTTGGGGAGACTTATGATGGTCGAGTTAAGGTGGGTGCGTGGCCCGTGTCCAGGAATATTCAGTCCTATGAATACCAGGCTCCTAAACGTCCCCACCAGCAAGGAAGGGCGTCCGCAAGGGCCGCAGCTCGGCGTGCTGGCCGCCGCGAAGACGATGTCCTTGCCCTGAGGGGCCACGGTGACAGCCACGTCCCCACAGCAGGCGTGGTCTCCACCGTGAGTCCAGTACGAGCTGACCCACCTGCTGAAGGCAAGTTAAACTCTGCAAATACGCCGATGTGACGCGTTTATCCCACGTCAGGCGCCAGAGAGCCCTTTAGGGCTTCGGGCTGCAAGCCGCCCTTGCTGTCCCCTGCAAGCCCGATGCCGGCTCCGATTCTAAGAAAACTCGGTCCCGTAATGAGACGCGGGGCCCAGCCGGGGCTCAGCGGTTGGGCCGCTCAGTTTGATTCCCGGTCAGGGCTCAGGCCCGGGCTTCAGGCTCGGCCCCCAGCAGGGCCGGGCCGTGCAGGAGGCGGCCGATCAGTGCTGTTTCTCACATCGGTGTTTCTATCTCTCCCTCCCTCTCCCTTCCTCTCTCTCTAAAAATCAATAAAAACATATTTAAAAAAAAAAAAAATGAGACACAGAGCCGCAAAACGGACGCTAAAGGAAAGAATTCCCTAAATCTGCTCTGTTCCTTGACCTCTGACGTCCATCTGCCCTGGAGTCCTCAGGCCGGAGCCGCCGTCTTCAAATCCCTGTGCCCCCCGGCCCCCCTTCACCTTCACGCCCAGGTCCTCTAACATCAGCCCACCGGCCCCTCCTCACCGCCTGGGGTCCGACCAAGCCCGGTCAGGAGGGGACGCTGTGGAGGACTCAGGGTGCTGCCTCATGGACTCAACCGGCCACTCTGTGTCCCTCCGGCAGGTACCCTGGCTCAAGCAGGGCAGGAGCCCACTGTCCCCTCATGCCCGCAGCCACCCCGGGCTGTGCAACATGTACAAGGTAAGAGTCACTCGGCCGCCAGCTCCTCCGCGCGCCACACGGCGGGTCCGTGTCCCCGCCGTGGCCCCACCCGCGAGGCCCTGCCCGGCAGGCTCTTGTCCAGGGGGCCCAGCTGGTCTCACACGGTGTCCGCAGGACGGGCTGGCAGGGCAAGGGGACAGTCCCTGGGGAAAGCCGGCAAAGGACAGTGTGTGGAGACAGAGTCCGGGGGGAGGTGGCTCCGCCTGGGTCCTGTGTGGATAAGGCCCATGGGTCAGGGCAGGGCGGCAGATGAGCCCCTGGAGTGAGCTGGCCAAGGGCAGTTCCACGGGGTCCAGGGCAGAAGCAGCGACCCCTAGAGAGGTGACCTGTGACCGTGGCGCTGACCACCTGTGTTCACAGCTCTCTGAAAGCCATGCCAGGCAGGCACTGAGCGCTCACAAATGTTAGTGGTTTAACGTCTTACGGGACAAGTGCCACTGGGGCGCGGGCACCTGAGCTCACCTGAGCTCCCTGGGGCTGGAAGACACGGTGGTCATCCGTCCTCTGTCTCCCGTGTGGAGGTGGCCACTGCTCAGAGCCACTAGTGACATGTGGGCAGCAGGGAGGGAGGGGGCAGGTGACTCAGAGGAGGCCCTGGGTCAGCCCTGGGTCGGCCCTGGGTCGGACGGCCGCTCACACAAGGTGGGTGCCCGCGCCCCAGCTCCGGTCACCGACGACACTCTCAGGAGACAGCAGGCTCTGGGCTTGGGCACCTGGGGGACACAGAAAATAGAAACAGGTGCTCGGTACAGAAAGAGAGCTTGTTCTGACAGGGTAGGTGAGCCCAGGTCAGGGGAGGCCGCCGCTGGGGACCCCTCCGCTTCGGACCCACTGAGGGCTGTGCCATGTGCTGGGAGGGTCTGTGGGAGACAAGCAGGAGCTGGCGCTCCAGGGCCGATGGTCCCAGGAGGGTCTCGGAGGCAGCGAGGGGGCCCAGGGCTGGCAGGAGGTGGGCACACGACCCGGAGCCCCCGATGGCCACGCGGGACCGACCTGCTTAATGGATGAGTCAGGAGGCCCTGGCCCACGGGTACCGCTCTGGGGTTGGGTGACAGAAACGTTCACCAAATGCTCCACTTTTCTCTTTTAAACAATTTTCTGACCGGGGAAGAGCCGTGGCCCGTCCCCCACGGCTTCCTCCCCACTGACTCCTGCCCATGTCTGTGCAAAACGGGCCAATCCTACTTCCTTCAGTTTAACCTGGGGGAGCCCACTGCTGTCCACGCAGGACCGGGACAGCTGCTGGACACCGCCTGCCCTGGAAAGACGCAGGAGGAGGAATGGGGGGTGCGTGTAGCGTCTGTGTGTCTGTTGAGAGCAGGGGAGGCGGAGACAGAGGGACCTGGAACCAAAGGCCAAGTGCTGACGAGAGGCAGGCGACGGGCTCCCCACATTGATGCTGGTGGTGACAACCTTTCGGGGACATGTTCTAAAATCGCGCTCTCAGCCGTCGGCCTCCCAGGGGCGTCTGGGCCCCAGGTGAGCTCTGAGAGGGCAGCGAGCCGGCCGGAGAGCCGGGGCCCCTCCCTTCTGCGGTGGGGGCGCCTCTCACACTGAGAAGACGCCCAGGACCCCTCCGAGAAAGCCCTTCTGCCCGTTTCGAATGTCCCTCCAGTCTGTGAGGCTCCCAGACAGTGGCCACATTCATGGGGAGCAGATTCAGTGGCACCCGCCGCGGGAAGGATCGTGAAGGCAGGTCGCAGTAAATGCTTTTAAAATAACTCGTCCCAGGTTACAGGACAGAAGGCTCCTGGAACAGGCTCAAGGAGGAGACAAAGCCGCTGAGCAGCCGGCGCCCAGTGCCCAGTGTCGCCAAGGGGCTCAGAGCCGACAGTGCCCTTCCCCTGGCCTTCTGAACCCCGAGGGGCCGACAGGCCGTGGCAAGATGACCGTGTTCCCTGACCTTCCAGAGCTTCCTCCTGTCTCTGTCTTGTCCGCAAACACAGCGTGAAGGGCAAGAGGGACCCACCCGCCAGGATGTCCCAGACAAGGCCTCACAACAAAGCGGCTCAGGTGCTGGCAGCTCAGGAGCGACGCCCACCCGGACCCCTCAGCAGGAGACCAGCACCCTGCTCAGGACTCACCGGCCCGGTGCCCCAGGGCTGTGACGTGACTGTGGCGGGTGGAGAGGTCCACGCGAGCGGACAAATCAAATAACATTTGAGGCATCGAACGCCAGCTGGGAGAGAAAGGAACCCGAGGGAGGAACAAGGAAAACCTCCAAAGGGGACGGTCCCGCGTGGCAAACAGGCGGACGCTTTTGCTCCCGTGTCTTCATCCGCACGTCACGGATCAGAGGCCCTGGCGGCCGGATGGAGACCAGAAAGGTGCCGGCACCACCGGGCCTCCCTGCTGTGCTGAGCGGCGGGGCCGCGACCTGACTCTGTGCGAGTCTCTGTCCAGGAGAGAGCCGCCCGCTCACAGTCAGGAGCCCGACACGTCACTGCCCGGAGGGCTCTGCTTTCCGCTGCAGCATGGCCGTGGCGCGGCGTGGTGTAGCGTGGCGTGGCATGGTGTGGCATGGCGTGGCGTGGCATGGTGTGGCCTGGCGTGGCGTAGCGTGGCGTGGCATGGTGTGGCGCAGCGTGGCTGTGGTGACGAGGGGTCCTCATGAGCAGGCAGGAGCCCTCGTGTCCTTGATTCAGGTGGAGCCTCAGAGAAGACGGCAGACCCACCCCAGGCGTCTCACACAGCAGGTCGCTGTCCGCGCCTCACAACCTGTTGACACTCGAAACTCTCCAACCTGGACACTGGTCCCTCCGATCACGGGGCCAAGGGACGGTCCCCCTGCCGCCACCAGCGAGCTGCACGCCTGTCGGCATTGCACCCCCGTCTTCCGATACTGAGGAGAAACCTGTTCCCCGACAGCCAGCGGGTAACCAGCATTCCCACCCGCATCGCAGGCTCGCCCGCCTGTGGGTCCCCAGCCACAGGGAGAACCCGCAGCTGCAGCTCAGCACAGCCTTCGCCAAGGTCATGAAGGAGCCACGGCTCTAATTAAACCCACACGAGCCAGGGACCCGGCAGCAATCACATCTGTGAACTTGCAAAGGGCAAAGCACGGGGCAAACTGCTGGTGTCACTCAGGCTGGGACGCATTCCCCCCAATGCNGGACCCGGCAGCAATCACATCTGTGAACTTGCAAAGGGCAAAGCACGGGGCAAACTGCTGGTGTCACTCGGGCTGGGACGCATTCCCCCCGGNAAGCACGGGGCAAACTGCTGGTGTCACTCAGGCTGGGACGCATTCCCCCCAATGCGTTGCAACGCCCAAGACGCCCGGCTGTGCCAGAAAAATCCAACGCTCTCCCGAGACAGCTCAGAGTCATTTGACCAGAGATGGTGCCACCGCTTCCCCCGAAAACCATAGATAAACAGCGGGAGCGGGGGACCTGGCGGCGTCTCGGAGCAGCGGGTGCCGTGGGGCGAAACCTCGAGGTCAGTGCCCTCTGTCTGACCGACTCTCAAGGGAGATGTCATAGCTCAGTTTGCAGAACACGTGTCATTTCATCCCCAGACTTGTGACCTTCGAGACGCCGGCTCTATTGGATGGCATTTATTCCGTGGGTGCCCAGTCTGCACCTGGGCGAGTGGCTGTGGGGACACAAAGGTGTCAGGACCCTTTCCTACCAGTGGCTTCGGAGAGGCCCGGGGGCAGCTGTTCGCCTCTCACCAGTCATGTCGTGGAAAATGGGTGGGCAGCCAGGTGGAGGCCACAAAATCCAGAAAAAAGCAAAATGCAAATGTCTTTCCCCCTCACTCTCCAGGCCCCTGGTGAAACCACCTCAGTGAAAGACCAGTGTCCTTGTGCCACTCTGTGGACGTCTGTGGATGTCTGTGGCCTCTGCCACGTCCCACACGTGGATTAAGGAGCAAGTGTCAGACGTGTGTGCTGGCTGCCGGCTACAGAGCGATGCAGGCAGCACCGCCCTCCAGAGTAGGCGCATCCCCCTCGGAGGACCAGTTTCCCCCGAAACGCACGTAAAACTCAGTGAGAGTCGAGGGAGAAACGCACCTCCCGTTGGCACCCGTGGCCTGCAGGAGGCCGTGCACATGCAGCGACACGGAAAACTGAGTCCGTGCACACTGNCTCAGTGAGAGTCGAGGGAGAAACGCACCTCCCGTTGGCACCCGTGGCCTGCAGGAGGCCGTGCACATGCAGCGACACGGAAAACTGAGTCCGCACACACTGGGCAGCCTTGTCCTCGGGGCAGAGCGGAGACAGGGCTTGGGCTTCGGGTCATAAAAGACCAGAGAGCCTGCGTCTGCGCCGGGCCTGCGACTGCGACGGGGGTGCCGTCGGCCAGGGCCGTCTTCAGGCTCACGTGTCTGGTGATTCAGTCCTTGTCTCGGCCCCTCTCTGTGCCCTCCCCGTGCCGCCCACCTGGGAGAGGGGCCAGCAGCTGGACGCCCACCGGGGAGGTGAGGGGACCCGTGTCCCTGGGTCCCGACCCCGAGCCCTGAGCTCCCAGAGGGGACACGTCCCAGGCCCGTGGCTCGATGTGGCTCATTCCTTGGCTTTCTGATGGGATTCAGCTTAAATTGCTCTCAGACAAGAGAGAAAGAGCCAGGCCTCTTTCCCTTCAACACGCCCCCAGGCACAACAAGTGTTAATTTTTTCGAGATCCAGCCTTTCCTTCTGAAAGGAAGGGTCTCCGCGGATTTGTCTCTGGTCAAGTCCAGCGCAGGTGGGGTGCGTGGCCTCCGGCCCCCGTCCCACAGAGCAGCGTCTCCGGTGGAAGGAGCGAATCTGCCAGCCTGCTGACCGCTGACCCCGGCTGTGCGGGCGAGAGGACCCTCCTGTCCTTACCCCCAAGGGAAGGGCCCCAGCTCCCAGCAAACCGGAAACCAGTTCAATTCCCCCCGGGCGAGAGGAGCAGCCGCGGGCGGTGCGCGCGCGCCACCTGCTGGTGAAGGGCGCGACCACAGCGCCGGGGAATCGGGATTCCTCAGGAACCGGCTCATGGAGAAGCCATTCG